TCTTATCATTCATAATACTTCCCTGTAACAAAAACTGAATTTTTGGACTATATTTATAAAACATATTGCTCCCTATTGCCCTCTGAACAGCTCTTTTGATGTTGTATATATCTACTGTTAATATTCAAATTGTATATCTCTTGTAACTCTAGTCTAGTTCTTAACTGTCCATTTTCATCAAGCAAATCTCTAACATATACAATGCCAGCTTTTACCCATTCATCATTATACACAGACTTCTTATTTAAAATGACTAATTTATTATTCCAAATTATTTGATGAAATATATCTTCATCAATGTTAACAATTTCTCTCCAATCCTTTAACATACATCTATAAAATGATGGTACAGCAATATGCAATTTTCTTAGGTCATAATTACATTTTAGATAACCATCCTACTTTTTTCAAAGCTTTTTCTAAAAACAATTTCCAGCTTCCATCAGAGGAATAATATCTCGGTATCCTTGCCAAACAGAGTGCCTTACTCATACTGGTAAAATCCAAAGCTGAAGCTCCCCCTAGTTCTTTTACATTTAGCATTGTTGTTTCTTTTCACTTTTTCATTCTTATAATTCCAAATAAATCTAAACAATTCCACATTGATTTCTTTACACAAACTTGCTGGAACCTGCATCATACTGCTTTGGTATATGAGCCTTGAACAACCTTCCCCTTTAGAAAGCAATATTCTTCCAAAAATTGATAAATTTCTTGATGACCAAATTTGGAATTGTTTTCTTATTTTCAAAATTTGGGGTTTGAGATGTTCTGTTGCTAAAGTATCATTATTTCTAAACAATTGGATACCTAAACATTTAATGCCACTATAAACAATGTCTAAACCTTTTATACCACACGATATTGGACGGTTCTGTATAGGCATAACATTACTTTTCTTTACATTTATCTTAAGGCCTGTTATTTTTTCAGATCTGTTGTAAAATTCAACAGCTTTTGCTACTGAATGTATATTTTTTAATGTCAAGTTGGTATCATCTGCAAAATAAATGCCTTTCACTTCTTTCTCCCCAATTCTGACCCCTTGAATATCTAAATTTATCCTGACTTACATATTTATGATTTCGGGAGCAAATGATAAAAATATAAGGGCATAAGGGGCATCCTTGTCTAACACCTTTGAACAACTGAAACCATTTGGTTGCCCTGCCTTTGTTAACAACACAACTTTGAGGCTTTTCATACAAAACTGAAATCCATTTACACATTATCTTACCAAAATTGAATTTTTAAAAACATTTTATAATCCCACTCAATGGAGTCAAATGCCTTTTGGAAATCTAGTGAAACAATAAAACCAACATCTGAGTCTTCATACATTTCCAATATATCTAATAAAAATCTAATATTCTCTCCTATATATCTACCTTTCACAAATCCTGTCTGGGTAGGATGGATTATATCTGGGAGCACTCTTTTTAATCTATTAGCTAAAGATTCGGCAATTATCTTATAGTCAACATTCAGCAGAGTAATTGGTCTTTTGTTTTCAATTAGCAAGGGATCTTTGCCTGGTTTATCCAGCAATGTAATAATTCCTCTCTTCTGTGAAACAGTCATGGTTCCTACTTGAAAAGTATGCTGTAACTTCTTTATAAATGGGACTTTAATATCCTCCCAGAACAACTGATAAAATTCTGTTGATATACCATCGCATCCTGGAGATTTATTACTTTTCATTTGAGATAAGCTTGCTTTCAGTTCTACCTCTGTAATATCTCTCTCAAAAATTTCCTTTTGCAAGTCTATCAAATTAACATTCACCCCATTAAAGAAATCATCCAAATCAGATTCTACTGGCCTTTCACTTTGGGAATACAAATGTTTATAAAAGGATGAGTATGATCTTGATACCCACTCACTGCCGGTCTTGTAACCGAAACATACCTGGGGTACACATCTGTAGGCCTCGTGCCTACAACAGCAATACTGACAGCACCCTTTTGTGTGGTGATTAAAGAAAGTCGCACTTGTAATATGGATTTTTTAAACAATGTTTTCAGCAGGGCTCGATTTAAGAGATGTTAACCTACTTGCACCGTGTGCAACCTAAGATAAAGACCTAGTTGCACCAGCCAAATTCCAGTTGCAACGTAGTGTGTTAAAATGTTTCGGGTGCAATAAACCTTAATCAGTGATGTAGTACCCATGAAACCATAGCAACACTGAGACACAGCTGATCCCTGTTTACAAGGGCTGTCATAGCCGAGACGTGTTTATGAATAGCAATGTTTCATTGCCATAGCTATTCAAAGTTTAGAAGAAAAATGGGCTGGCATATTTATGCATATGTTAGATTTATTGTTGATTTATTTCTCAACAATTCACGCACCTTTTGCAAGATAAACTCATAGCTAGGTTGTATTTTGTAATATTGGGTTGCACCAGTGCAAGTAACAAAGCACTAAATCGAGCCCTGTTCAGATTTTCTCTCTGACTTGGTTGACGCCTTCAACATATGCCAATGCTCATAACATCAATCTCTGGATTGCCTGGTCTTGACGTGAATATTTACAGACTGCCATCATGTAGCTGAATATTGCTGGTTGTGGCATGGGACAAACTAACAAACATGCTTTTTGTACCTGCAGGACAATGATACAAGAATCTGTTTCAAAATGTTGCATCACCTGAATAAAGAAGTTGTTCCATAAAGTTTGTCCTTATCTGACTCAGGGGATTTACAGGACGCAAATTCCTGCGTCCTAACGAAATTTATTAGCGAGTCCACAAGGACACAGAAAAAGTCCAAATACTTTTTGTATAAATTCCAATCAAGTAACAATAAGTTATCACTGAGTTTGCAACTAGCTGGTTTATGGTAATTGGTATCATTTGCAATTTAATTACTGTACATTTTTTAGTCCTGGACCTCTGAAAATTAAGAATATGAGTCCCAGGTACCCTGAAAAACAGGACTCGAGGTAAAACCCTGCTGACTTTTTTTTATTTTTTCAAAAGGTGAAGGAAAATGGAGATGGCCAGTAGCAACGACAACAGCATGAACAGTGCTGGCAACATCCTTATTATCATGCAAGATGAAAACGGCTGTGAGACTACAATAGACAGTGGTACTCTCACCACAGAGTCCCTCATGACAAGTCAAGCTTTACAACACTTTCACAACAGTTCCATCGAAACACAGACAGGTAGCCAAACAAGTATAACATCGTCCAAACCACTGGAGGTTGTTTCCATGGAAACGGTTGCCGGTAACGAAGTGGAGATACATCCGTCCAGCAATTTCCCAGGGGAGATGTCATACACGTCTTGTCTGGTCTGTGGGGATCGAGCGTCAGGGTATCACTACTCCGTGTTCTCATGCGAGGGTTGCAAGGGCTTTTTCAAGAGGACTGTTCAAAAAAATTTAACGTATTGCTGCAAGGAAGGCGGCACCTGTGAAATCAACAAATATACTTTCGAAACAGCTGTCAAGCCGTGCGGCTTTGCTGAAGTGCCTTCAGATGGGGATGAAGCGAGAAGGTTTGTGTCTGGAAAAATATTTTGGTCCCTGAGGTAATTTGGGGAAAAGAGAAACATCTCTGCCAAAAAAATTATATTTTGCAATCAAATTTTGTAAATTTTGCAATCAAATTTTTGTAAATTTTGGAAACAATTCTGCAAATTTTGCAGCTTAGTCTTTGGTAATTTCAATATGTTCCTGGTATTTGTATCGCGGCAGGTATTTTCTTATTAACTTAAGTCCGTGTGAGAATGGCTAAATGAATGGAATCTCACTATCTCAAATAATCATTTATAACTCTCCACAGCATCAAAAACATGATACAATTGCAGACAGACATGCACTTTTGCTAAGCAACGATACAAAAGTTGACATCAATCAAAGACAAAATGCATTTAGTTAACCACTTCTTAAAAGCTGCATTTATAAAAGCCCTCAAATTAATTATTTGGAATGACTGAATCAATACCATTGCCCGGTATTCTCCGGTTGGTCAAGTAAGTGTCCATGTTAAACTTTACAGTAGCCAGACCTCCAGATAAGATTTAGCTCATGTGGGTACTGTACCCACTGTATTTTTGGAGTGGGTATTATGAATGTTGAGTGGGTATTTCATTTTCCGTTACCCACTGCTTTCTAATATGTGCTTATTTCAGTCATTTTACTCACCTAAGTATTATGTCATTGAGTAAAGTTTACTAAGTAGGTATGTTCTGCCTTATGTCATACCTAATCAAAACCAACTTAAATATAATGGAAATCACTCATCCTATACTGACAGTACAACACTTGCCCCATACTAACAGTACAACTTGATAGCAATCGATGTCATTTTCATACCCAAGCCATTTTTATAAATATATTCCGTGACGCACTTGTTTTAAAACTTTGGCGATCTAACATTTTTAAATGCGTAATTGGTACTGCAACAATTATTTTTCAATGCGAAATGGGAATTTTCTATGCTGCGATTTTAATTCGGATAATGAGCTTATCTGGGCCTCTGAGTAGTGCCAAACTATTGAAAACATTTTTGATCTATGTATTTTGATGATGAAATAAAAATGCAATTGCTGCCAATGGCTAAAGATTATTTGCAAACTAAACCAAATTGTTATTTGTGGTCAATAGGGATGCCAATGACACATCAAAGGATTCGATGTCAATTCTTGTTCTAAGATGATAATTAGTGTCGATACATTCAAAACTGTATCGAGCTTTAGTTTTGAAAGCATCGGTTTAAATGTTTATGTATTGTTTACATTTTTGCAATTGTATCTTGTGTTTTTGACGCTATGAGAGTTATAAATAATTATTTTTCCTGCACAATGGGTATTCATGGAAATGTATCGAATGGTGACATGGGTATTGTGGATAATGAGCGCATTCATGAAACTTATGTATCGTGACATCCCTAGTGTAGTCAAATGAAATTGATATTTGGTCAAGTTGATTTGAAAGATTACTGGACCTGTGTCCATTGGAGTTTTGTACAATTTTCAACCCCGCATCTCACCACAGAGTCCCTCATGACAAGTCAAGCTTTACAACACTTTCACAACAGTTCCATCGAAACACAGACAGGTAGCCAAACAAGTATAACATCGTCCAAACCACTGGAGGTTGTTTCCATGGAAACGGTTGCCGGTAACGAAGTGGAGATACATCCGTCCAGCAATTTCCCAGGGGAGATGTCATACACGTCTTGTCTGGTCTGTGGGGATCGAGCGTCAGGGTATCACTACTCCGTGTTCTCATGCGAGGGTTGCAAGGGCTTTTTCAAGAGGACTGTTCAAAAAAATTTAACGTATTGCTGCAAGGAAGGCGGCACCTGTGAAATCAACAAATATACTCGAAACAGCTGTCAAGCGTGCCGCTTTAACAAGTGCCTTCAGATGGGGATGAAGCGAGAAGGTTTGTGTCTGGAAAAATATTTTGGTCCCTGAGGTAATTTGGGGGGAAAAGAGAAACATCTCTGCCAAAAAAAATTATATTTTGCAATCAAATTTTGTAAATTTTGCAATCAAATTTTTGTAAATTTTGGAAACAATTCTGCAAATTTTGCAGCTTAGTCTTTGGTAATTTCAATATGTTCCTGGTATTTGTATCGTGGCAGGTATTTTTCTTATTAACTTAAGTCCGGTGAGAATGGCTAAATGAATGGAATCTCACTATCTCAAATAATCATTTATAACTCTCACAGCATCAAAAAACATGATACAATTGCAGACAGACATGCACTTTTGCTAAGCAACGATACAAAAGTTGACATCAATCAAAGACAAAATGCATTTAGTTAACCACTTCTTAAAAGCTGCATTTATAAAAAGCCCTCAAATTAATTATTTGGAATGACTGAATCAATACCATTGCCCGGTATTCTCCGGTTGGTCAAGTAAGTGTCCATGTTAAACTTTACAGTAGCCAGACCTCCAGATAAGATTTAGCTCATGTGGGTACTGTACCCACTGTATTTTTTTGGAGTGGGTATTATGAATGTTGAGTGGGTATTTCATTTTCCGTTACCCACTGCTTTCTAATATGTGCTTATTTCAGTCATTTTACTCACCTAAGTATTATGTCATTGAGTAAGTTTACTAAGCAGGTATGTTCTGCCTTATGTCATACCTAATCAAAACCAACTTAAATATAATGGAAATCACTCATCCTATACTGACAGTACAACACTTGCCCTATACTAACAGTACAACTTGATAGCAATCGATGTCATTTTCATACCCAAGCGATTTTTATAAATATATTCCGTACGCACTTGTTTTAAACTTTTTGCGTATCTAACATTTTAAATGCGTAATTGGTACGCAACAATTATTTTTCAATGCGTAAATGGGAATTTTCTATGCGTATTTTACCCGGATACGCAGCTTATCTGGGCCTCTGAGTAGTGCCAAACTATTGAAAACATTTTGATCTATGTATTTTGATGATGAAATAAAAATGCAATTGCTGCCAATGGCTAAAGATTATTTGCAAACGAAACCAAATTGTTATTTGTGGTCAATAGGGATGCCACGATACATCAAAGGATTCGATGCGTCAATTCTTGTTCTAAGATGATACAATTATCGATACATTCAAAACTGTATCGAGCTTTAGTTTTGAAAGTATCGGTTTAAATGTTTATGTATTGTTTACATTTTGCAATTGTATCTTGTGTTTTTGACGTTATGAGAGTTATAAATAATTATTTTTCCTGCACAATGGGTATCGTGAAATGTATCGAATGGTGACATGGGTATTGTGATACGTAGCGATTCATGAAACTTATGTATCGTGACATCCCTAGTGGTCAAATGAAATTGATATTTGGTCAAGTTGATTTGGAAAGATTACTGGACCTGTGTCCATTGGAGTTTTGTACAATTTTCAACCCCCGCAAATAATGACTCAATGATTATTCATTTCAGTAAACCTATGCAGCTTTTACATCATTAAAAACAACTCTCACGTCACTAGTTAAAATTCGCAGTGAACTGAAATATGTTATGGTTAAATGCTAAGTCCTGCAAGTAATGCACACGAGTAATTTTCTGCAAAATAGGCAAATTTCTTGACCAAGTAAGCAGAGGTACAGATAAGCTGCGTATCGGCATAAATTACGCAAATATATGTGAAAACTCAATTCCTTAAGTCTATTGCGTACAAGTACACTTGAAATTTTGTAAATACACAATAAAAATTTGATCTTACATGCGACTCACAAAAATGTCAAATCTTAGCTTGTGGTACCAATGGATAGATAAAATAACTGAAGTATATGGAGAGGTTCTATTTCAGCACATGAACTTGGCAACTTGCAGTCTTTCTTATTGTTTCTCTGTTTGCAGATCAAATCTAAATAACAAACACGTAAACAACATTTAAACGTTATTATATTTTTACAGTTAATGGCAAATAGGTGAATCAAGCTGTCAAAATCATATCTCACCGTACTCACTACTTAAATTCGGGAATACAACCTCCTCCCTTCAGGCCGCCGCTACGAAGTTCCAATTGTGAAAACTAAGAGAGCCCGTACATCCTTTATTCCAAGTACCATATCTCTCTTAAACAAATGTGAAGATACCTAAATCAAAGAATTTATGTAAATATGTTTGGTATCTCTCTGATGTGTCAGTAGCTCTGCTGATGTAACACAAATTCCTGAAAAGGCATTAAAGTATTATTCTATTCTATTCTATTCTAAACAAATATATTCGCATTTTTTCATTTTTTTTGACATTTTTAACATTAATTAAGCCTATTGTGTATGTTGTTCAGCTGTCCGAGAAGACCGATCTCCTGGAGGAAAGCATAGATTAAAACGACGTATGGATGAGACGTCTCCCCTTGTTATGTCTGATGGCCTCATTGGATTTCCACAAGGGCAGAGAAAGGAGTTCATTGATCCTCTGGTGGAAAGTCTGATCGAAGCAGGGCCAGACGTGATTCCCAAATATGAAGGTGAGTTTGTTAATTCCAGTGCCGGGTGAATTGTGTGTGACCTCCATTTGAGGAGATCTGCCATTCTGTATCAGTATGACCGCCAACATCTTTAAAGGGCCACTGATCCAGAGTGATTAATGTTTCCAGCCAACAGTCTAATTATGAAACCTTGCTGCACACTGGTCAGCCCCTGCTCCCTCGACCGTGATGGACGTGGGGACCCTGCTACTGTCCGCCTTGGCAGAATTTCTTCAACCAAATCAGTGGGACATTAGGAAGGGTGGATGCCATCAGATGCCGTTATTTGAAATTATCCCTGGTAGTTCTTGTCTGATTGTAATAAAGTATCCCAGCAGTGTAGGCTTTTACAGATTTTCAAATGTTCGATGGTATAGTGACTGGTCCAATTTGATCCTATTTCTGTGTTTTTACCTCGATATTTAATCATGTAAAAATATGATGTCTATTACGTATTGCGTATTGCTATGATATCAAAACACACATTTGATATATTTGAATCCATAAACTAAACAACCCCACTTTGCCATTGCAAACAATTTTACTTAGGTACATAGGTATATACAGTTTTTAACTAAGTTACATATGTACACAGCAAATGCTTATATATATTCCTTATGTAACAATGAAGTTCCGTTCATATCCTCAAAACAGTGTCGGCCCATAAGGATTTTTTTCAGGCAATCAAACTTGCATGCAATACTACGATTACTACTCTCTTGCTGTAACCCTTGTTTGGTGGTAAACGTACACATGTTATTTGTCATCATTCACTTGATGGTCAGTTAATGAATTTATAACAGGTATAATTGGTGATAACACCACTCAGATTACCCGACAAAGGTTCCCATTTGGCATTTCTTGTGTCTGGAGTAAATACTCATCATTACAAATTGAGGTCTGATGTGGCAAATGTATTACATCTTATGTAATATGCGCATGGAAGTGCATTAAGAGGAGTTATCAGCTGAGTTACAAAACAAACATCGATCAAAGGATTAACCGATAACACGCTGATTGATTAATTGCTTTTATCCTGCACAGCAGATCGTTGTAAAAACAATGTCCTTCCTTCAAAAAGATTAACCGCCAATACATTGATTGATTACTCATTATTGGCTAACTAAATTACTTTTTTAAAGAATGTCGGACATCATGCAATGGGGAACATTCCTGGAGTTGTGCCCCCTTGCCCCCTTGGAGCGCTGCGGTAGTTACGGTCCAACAGTAGATGTCACTCTGATACTGGCCTGCCTATCGGCCAAGCCTAAACTTAAGTCGACATTAAACCTACTTTTAACTCTGTGGTTCTTATATTACGAATTACGGAATCTGGAAGTTGTCCTGACTGACGACTGTTGTCAAAGCACGAAGAACTAGCGTGTCTGGGCGAAAAATAATGCTAATAGAACGGTACTGCAGTTATTGTAATATTGACTTTTCTCGGGAATTTCTTATTGAGTAGTTGCTTTGTAAATTCGTCAAACCATTTACTTCCCATTATGTCACATTACGCAGAGCATTAATGCGGTCGTAATAGTTGTTAGAACATAGGATTAGTGTACACTGAAATTAGCGTTACACAAATAACGTTAGCGCTGACCTGATTACGCGCACAACATAAGTGCTTCAGTTTTCGTTCACGTAAACAACCTATTCTCATAGCCTAACGCTTTGGGATGCAATGGAAAGAGGAAATGCTATGGCAACGGGTCGTTTTCGAAATAATTTAAACAAATCATTTTCATCGAATGAACGACTCGCTGACAGTGTGTTCAACAAAATATATTACACACATTCACACGTTAAATAAGCTCATAACTTCCGGTTTATAGTATCTACATACATATTTAAGGACCGTTCATAATTAATGGGGTGGGTGTTGGTGATGATTTTTATGGAGAAGCATGTACAATGTGAATGACCTCCCTACAATTCATGTACAAAGTAAGTGACACCCCTTTTGCATACGTCATATTCAAAATCAATTAAACTCACCCCCACCCCATAAGTTTAAGCATAATCTTTTTTATGTACAAATTTGCTTTTCCCCCCCCCCTCTAGTACACGTGTACAAAATTGATGATCTCTACAGTACAGTAAATTGGCATATTGCTTGCACAATATATTTCTAAGTATCATTTGGGACCCCACCCCAATCTGTACCATTTTTAAAGGCTGTCTCTTCTCAACACAAATAACCAGTATCTAAATGATAGATCACATTTTGAAAACACAAGAATATTATTTGAAATTGTGTTTCAGGTGTTTTCAAATAATGTAACTAAGCATGAGTGAATTACTGAAATATTTTAAACACATTGAACCATTACTGTAGGTCTGAACTATCTGATGCCAGAAGCAAGGCGGTATCGGGTACATTGTCTTTTAAGGTGGGAGCCTTTTAAATTTGAATACAAATATTCCACATTTGTTATTCCAGCGTGTGTGAAGGGTTTGCAAATTACATCAAGGCTCATCACAATTATAATGGACTCACAGTGTCAGTGAACACAGTGTGTATTTGAAATACTGAAACAAGGAATAATTTAGCTTTTGAATGGTAGTCTAAATGGTACAATTGAGATTCTACAATACTTACGATTATTCTCATGTGTCAATTATCATCAGACAAAAATCAACAAAGTCTGTGTTGTAATTTCAGTTTTTATTGTTCAACATATTATATTCTGCATGTATGGACATTAATAAATATAGACACACATACAGTAAAAAATTATCTCCTTTGAAGAACCTTGATTAACACTTACATCAGATGCATGTTGATGTTTTCCACACTGACAATCATACTGTCAATATTGCTGTACAGATAATTTAGGTGACATGCATATGCACCAAAAATGGAAGTACAACAGTGAAGTCTAAATATTTTGACAGTCCTGTGTAAATGAAAATTGCTGCAGCACTAAGCATAATAGTTAGTACTGGAAGCACTGCATGTTTGTCTCTGTGTTGATATACAGTTACTTTCATATTTGGCCTGTGCCCAGTCTGGAGAGAAAAATGTTTGGCTCAATATTCTTGCCATCAAAATCATCATGGGTGATTGTTTCCTCCCCAGCGACCTCACTGATGTTACATTCAACATCACAAGTATCCACCAGCATTAAGTGGGTCAGCTGATACAGTCCAGGGAAAGAATTGGTCGTACAGCATCTGTTTTTCTCTGTTGCCTCAGACGTGTTCATCCTGGAAAACATCAGTGGAGTATTACTATCCAAACTGATACAGGGTAATATTATCTTATGACAGCCAGTTATGAGAAAATGTATCATTATCAGATTTAAGTTACTATTGTAGAGAAAGACATGTCACATAATGAACATATTCATTCCGATAGGTCGAAGGTGGAAATCATTATTCTTAACAAATGTTTCAACTATGGAGAAGCATAATTTAAATATGCTGACATTTTTTTTCCTTCTCTGATTGGCATTTAGAAGTTGGTGTGATGAACAACAAGGAGAGTTCTATGGATATACAACTTCTTTAATATAATATGAGCGACATTGTGGTGTAGCTACTAACACCGTTATCAAGCAAGTAACTCTCTTTGTTAATTGTTTTTTCTGATACAAAGATGTGTTCAACAAGTACACCAGACATTATTCAGACAAATTCATACCAAAAGTAAAACAAACACTAACATGTAGCATGTGTATTCTGGAATCACCTGGGCCTCATCTTTGTGGACAACAGGCACCTGTAGGGAGATGTAATATGATGCATTAAAGAGAACAAGTCAATTGTATATTAGTATTCTTGGTAAACTTTAATTCAACAATGAAGGGAACAAAGGTGTTATTGTCAAACATAAACAACTTTGCAAACATGTATATAATGATGCTAACTTGCTTTTTAAAAGCAAGAACCAAATGAAAGTTAACCCACAGGTTCACATGAAAATTTACTTGTGAAATGCCAATTACCCTAAAACACTGAAAATAATAAAAAATGGGTTCCAATTTACGATTTACTTGCCTACTCTACCTACCTGTCATCAGGAGATATAAGCATATGTGAAAATATCACATACATTAGAATTTTAAGTAAATTACTCTATGTAACTCAGTGTCAAACTGACAACTGTATTTAAGATGCATGACCAGGTGTTGTATGAGAGAAGACAAGCAGGTAAAATCAACAGGCCATATCAAGTGATGAATGCTTTGCTAAGATATAATTGAAATATAGTTGAAAATAAATTCAATAGATTAACTTGACATTAGAATGCAATAGCTGTGTTCAAGTACGGTGGAAAATTTTGAAACAATGTTAACAATGAATAAAGCCTTACTACTACAGAAACTGTTTTATCATGTTTATAGCTAATCTTTACTGGGGTGTCGATTTCAGACGATAACATCGGTGGCATTCTACAGATGGTGACGCCTTGGGCTGCACCCTTTGTAATGGGAAATGATTGTGTCCTGTAAGTTTTGATGATTACTACAGTGAGAGGCCCCTAATGTTTCGCGTGAAAAGTTTTGTACAGCATGTGTCCCTCTTAAGCAACACATTCTTTTCCCTGAATCGATTCAAAACCCCTGCTCGTAATTTCGGTTGGCTTGCACTTTAACTAAATTTGGCAAGGAGAATAACAATAACAACGTTTTCTTCAAACTGTAAAAGATACAAAATACGTGGTACTTACCGTAATTAGTTACAGTAACGAAATCGCCCTGTAAGAAGTGGAAACGGCACACAACACTGAGAGTGAGACCAGCGAGAGCTGACGGCTACCTCATAATGCTTTTGTTTCATTCGTCGCTACTCCGAATGATAGTCAACCACCACTTCAGCAGGTTTTGACCTCTTGGAGACGTCGAACCTCTATTGCAGCATCCCGAGGCACGGCAGCACGTTTCAGGCATCGTAATATTGCTGCGCATTTGAAATCGACCGTGCAACAAACTTTGAACGCCATCATTATGCCGGAAGTACACTTAGGACCGTAGTGATTGGCGCCATCTATTGGCGAAGCTGTAAAGGGAGATAACTGAGGAATGTTCCCCATTAGTTGCCAGGTGTGCTATCTTGGGTGACCAATGGGATACACCAATGTGAAAAACCTGAAACGATAGATCACTTTTCGCATATTAGACTGTTAAAAGACACATGACATGGAACAGGATACTTTGTCAGCTGCAGATGAATGGCACCTCATTCCTTTATGCTGATATTGATGGATACATTCCCCGAACAAGGTAATAGCCTGATATTGTTGCTATAACTTTAGTCTGTTTTAATATTAATATTTGCAGTTTGTTTTTATTTATTTGTTATGGCATTCAACAGAATCCTTTTTTTTTTGCCGGGAAGTGTAATGAGACAGACAACATACACTAGGTCGTACTTAGGGTGTGTGTGTGAAATATGATACACGTTGGCAATCTATAAGATGTCTAGACATTACAGTCATGTTATAAATTCACTGAGTATAAGCAGATCGTGTGCATTTTATTAAGTTTCAAACTGCATACAAATATGATAATAAACTAATTAGGATTATAAGACAAAATATAAAGACGTACATTGACTTCGCTATTTCAGTCCTAACATTTTTTACCACTGGCAGATGGTTAAACTTAAAATGTTTTCATTTGTTATCAAAATAATGCCATTTAATACAACATTCAGACTGACTAGTAGTGAACCCGAGCTCACAACTCTCCCCAGAAGATTCCCCATGTACTTAGTGAGCCTTACTTTCAAAACAATGCTATTATACCAGGCTTCTCACCAAATTCAAGGTCAAACTATTTCTTAAGTCAAATTCTACATCCATTTACAAAATCAACATAAGATTTTCGAGTAAAAAAGATTTCATCTTTGTAGATCAGTCTATACTTATACTATCAATTGGTCATGAGGGTGGCGCAGCAGAGGTAGTCATGAATTCTGGGACATCATCTGGGTACTCACCGGAGAAAAACAGTAACAAAAGCAACAACCAGTCCACGGAAATTGCATGTGTGACCTCTGTTTTAGGGGAACTGACCTCCATCCCCACCATATCATGTGTGACCTCTGTTTCAGGGGGCCGACCTCCACCCCAACCATATCATGTGTGACCTCTGTTCCAGGGGGGGTGACCGACCCCACCATATCATGTGTGACCTCTGTTTCAGGGGGGCCGACCCCCACCATATCATGTGTGACCTCTGTTTTCAGGGGTTTTAGGGGGTCTGACCTCCACCCCACCATATCATGTGTGACCTCTGTTTCAGGGGGGCTGACCTCCACCCCCACCATATCATGAGTGACCTCTGTTTCAGGGGCTGACCTCCACCCCCACCATATCATGTGTGACCTCTGTTTCAGGGGGCCGACCTCCACCCCCACCCATGTGTGACTTCTGTTTCACCACCACCCCCATCATATCATGTGTGACCTCTGTTTCAGGGGGCCGACCTCCACCCACCATGTCATGTGTTACCTCTGTTTCAGGAGGTCTGAGCTCAACCCCCACTGTATCGTGTGACCTCTGTTTCAGGAGGTCTGAGCTCCGCTCCCAACATATCATGTGTGACCTCTGTTTTAGGGGAACTGACCTCCACCCCCACCATAATTATCAGGGTCTTACCTCTGTTTTGGGTTTTTTTTTCGACCTCCAGGGGGTTGGTGGTGACCTCCACCCACACCATATCATGTGTGACCTCTGTTTTAGGGGGGCCGACCTCCACCCCCACCATATCATGTGTGGCCTCTGTTTCATAAGGGTCGACCTCCAGCCCCACCATATCATGTGTGATCTGTTTCAGGAGGACTGACCTCCAACCCACTGTATTATTTGTGACCTCTGTTTCAGGAGGTCTGACGGCTGGTATCAGCGTGAACGAGCTGATGCAGTGTGGGTACTCTGAACTAAAATACATCATCGAGTGGGCCAAGAAGGTACCAGGTCAGAAGGTACTAGTAATCAAAACTACACACATATATTGTTTGATCAGAAGATCGGGGTAAATATCTAGTAATCAAAACTACACACATTTATTGTTTGATGTGCCTTCCTGTTTGTGAGCTGAATGTTCATCACTGGTCAGATTTATTTACAGAGTTGCATATAGCTGGAATTTTATATCACTCTCACTATTGAAGCTGAATGTATCGCAATTTTGCAAGTCATATCACTTTGAAAAAGCAATTCATTTTGCACAAACCAAATAAAATGTTTGACAAAATGTATTGAAGACATTCTCTACTGAATTTCAATGTTGCCAGTACCCTGTAAATGATGCCCCGTCACCTAATCATCGAGACTAATGTTATTACAGTTTACATTTGGGTACAGTTGAGACGTTGATAATGGATGGCGGGATAGCCTAGTGGTTAAAGCAATCGCACATCATGCCAAAGACCCGGGTTAGATTCCCTACATTGATACAATGTGTGGAGCCCATTTCCGGTGTCCCCGGCGGATACTGATGTATTTTCTACAGTGTCATAATGACTATTTTACACCATATCACATGTCCAAACTTTTATGTGTATGCAAATATGCTTGTTCTGAGCTGAAATCGGTAGACTGGTTTTATGCTACAGTTTCAGTTCTGGTTGTATTTTGTTTTGTATAATTGTGTAGATATACCATTACATTGTGAGGCTGTTTGAGAGTATAGCTGAATACATCAAAGTGACTGTATCGACAGTGGGGTGTACGACAGTATTACTGAATACATCAAAGTGACTGTATCGACAGTGGGGTGTACGACAGTATTACTGAATACATCAAAGTGACTGTATCAACAGTGGGGTGTACGACAGTATTACTGAATACATCAAAGTGACTGTATCAACAGTGGGGTGTACAACAGTATTACTGAATACATCAAAGTGACTGTATCAACAGTGGGGTGTACAACAGTATTACTGAATACATCAAAGTGACTGTATCGACAGTGGGGTGTACGACAGTATAACTGAATACATCAAAGTGACTGTATCGACAGTGGGGAATACAACAGTATTACTGAATACATCAAAGTGACTGTATCGACAGTGGGGAATACAACAGTATTACTGAATACATCAAAGTGACTGTATCGACAGTGGGGAATACAACAGTATTACTGAATACATCAAAGTGACTGTATCGACAGTGGGGTGTACGACAGTATAACTGAATACATCAAAGTTACTGTATCAACAGTGGGGTGTACGACAGTATAACTGAATACATCAAAGTGACTGTGTGGACAGTTGGGTGTACGACAGTATAACTGAATTCATCACAGTGACTGTATCGACAGTGGGGTGTACGACAGTATTACTGAATACATGAAAGTGACTGTATCGACAGTGGGGTGTACGACAGTATAACTGAATACATCAAAGTGACTGTATCGACAGTTGGGTATACGACAGTATAACTGAATACATCAAAGTGACTGTATCGACAGTGGGGAATACAGCAGTATAACTGAATACATGAAAGTGACTGTATCGACAGTGGGGTGTACGACAGTATAACTGAATACATAAAAGTGACTGTATCGACAGTTGGGTGTACGACAGTATTACTGAATACATCAAAGTGACTGTGTGGACAGTGGGGTGTAGGACAATATAACTGAATACATCAAAGTGACTGTATCGACAGTGGGGTGTACGACAGTATAACTGAATACATCAAAGTGACTGTGTGGACAGTGGGGTGTACGACAGTATAGCTGAATACATCACAGTGACTGTGTGGACAGTGGGGTGTACGACAGTATAACTGAATACATCAAAGTGACTGTGTGGACAGTGGGGTGTACGACAGTATAACTAAATACATCAAAGTGACTGTATCGACAGTGGGGTGTACAACAGTATAACTGAATACATCAAAGTGACTGTATCGACAGTGGGGTGTACAACAGTATAACTGAATACATCAAAGTGACTGTATCGACAGTGGGGTGTACAGCAGTATAACTGAATACATCAAAGTGACTTTGTGGAGTGGGGTGTACGACAGTATAACTGAATACATCAAAGTGACTGTATCAACAGTGGGGTGTACGACAGTATAACTGAATACATCAAAGTGACTGTATCGACAGTGGGGTGTACAACAGTATAACTGAATACATCAAAGTGACTGTATCGACAGTGGAGTGTACAACAGTATAACTGAATTCATGAAAGTGACTGTGTGGACAGTGGGGTGTACGACAGTATAACTGAATACATCAAAGTGACTGTATCGACAGTGGAGTGTACGACAGTATAACTGAATACATCAAAGTGACTGTATCGACAGTGGGGTTTACTACAGTATAACTGAATACATCAAAGTGACTGTATCGACAGTGGGGTGTACAACAGTATAACTGAATACATCAAAGTCACTGTATCGACAGTGGGGTGTACAGCAGTATAACTGAATACATCAAAGTGACTGTGTGGACAGTGGGGTGTACGACAGTATAACTGAATACATCAAAGTGACTGTATCGACAGTGGGGTGTACAGCAGTATAACTGAATACATCAAAGTGACTGTGTGGACAGTGGGGTGTACGACAGTATAACTGAATACATCAAAGTGACTGTATCGACAGTTGGGTGTACAGCAGTATAACTGAATACATCAAAGTGACTGTATCAACAGTGGGGTGTACGACAGTATAACTGAATACATCAAAGTGACTGTATCCACAGTTGGGTGTACATCAGTATAACTGAATACATCAAAGTGACTGTATCGACAGTGGGGTGTAGGGCAGTATAACTGAATACATCAAAGTGACTGTGTGGACAGTGGGGTGTACGACAGTATAACTGAATTCATCACAGTGACTGTATCAACAGTGGGGTGTACGACAGTATAACTGAATACATCAAAGTGACTGTATCGACAGTTGGGTATACGACAGTATAACTGAATACATCAAAGTGACTGTATCGACAGTGGGGAATACAGCAGTATAACTGAATACATCAAAGTGACTGTATCGACAGTGGGGTGTACGACAGTATAACTGAATACATCAAAGTGACTGTATCGACAGTGGGGTGTACAACAGTGTAACTGAATACATCAAAGTGACTGTATCGACAGTGGGGTGTACAGCAGTATAACTGAATACATCAAAGTGACTTTGTGGAGTGGGGTGTACGACAGTATAACTGAATACATCAAAGTGACTGTATCAACAGTGGGGTGTACGACAGTATAACTGAATACATCAAAGTGACTGTATCGACAGTGGGGTGTACAACAGTATAACTGAATACATCAAAGTGACTGTATCGACAGTGGAGTGTACAACAGTATAACTGAATTCATGAAAGTGACTGTGTGGACAGTGGGGTGTACGACAGTATAACTGAATACATCAAAGTGACTGTATCGACAGTGGAGTGTACGACAGTATAACTGAATACATCAAAGTGACTGTATCGACAGTGGGGTGTACTACAGTATAACTGAATACATCAAAGTGACTGTATCGACAGTGGGGTGTACAACAGTATAACTGAATACATCAAAGTCACTGTATCGACAGTGGGGTGTACAGCAGTATAACTGAATACATCAAGTGACTGTGTGGACAGTGGGGTGTACGACAGTATAACTGAATACATCAAAGTGACTGTATCGACAGTGGGGTGTACAGCAGTATAACTGAATACATCAAAGTGACTGTGTGGACAGTGGGGTGTACGACAGTATAACTGAATACATCAAAGTGACTGTATCGACAGTGGGGTGTACAACAGTATAACTGAATACATCAAAGTGACTGTATCGACAGTTGGGTGTACAACAGTATAACTGAATACATCAAAGTGACTGTATCGACAGTGGGGTGTACAACAGTATAACTGAATACATCAAAGTGACTGTATCCACAGTTGGGTGTACATCAGTATAACTGAATACATCAAAGTGACTGTATCGACAGTGGGGTGTAGGGCAGTATAACTGAATACATCAAAGTGACTGTGTGGACAGTGGGGTGTAATGCGACAGTATAACTGAATTCATCACAGTGACTGTATCAACAGTGGGGTGTACGACAGTATAACTGAATACATCAAAGTGACTGTATCGACAGTTGGGTATATGCGACAGTATAACTGAATACATCAAAGTGACTGTATCGACAGTGGGGAATACAGCAGTATAACTGAATACATCAAAGTGACTGTATCGACAGTGGGGTGTACGACAGTATAACTGAATACATAAAAGTGACTGTATCGACAATTGGGTGTACGACAGTATTACTGAATACATCAAAGTGACTGTGTGGACAGTGGGGTGTAGGACAATATAACTGAATACATCAAAGTGACTGTATCGACAGTGGGGTGTACGACAGTATAACTGAATACATCAAAGTGACTGTGTGGACAGTGGGGTGTACGACAGTATAGCTGAATACATCACAGTGACTGTGTGGACAGTGGGGTGTACGACAGTATAACTGAATACATCAAAGTGACTGTGTGGACAGTGGGGTGTACGACAGTATAACTGAATACATCAAAGTGACTGTGTGGACAGTGGGGTGTACGACAGTATAACTGAATACATCAAAGTGACTGTATCGACAGTGGAGTGTACAACAGTATAACTGAATTCATCAAAGTGACTGTGTGGACAGTGGGGTGTACGACAGTATAACTGAATACATCAAAGTGACTGTATGGACAGTGGGGTGTACGACAGTATAGCTGAATACATCAAAGTGACTGTATCAACAGTGGGATGTACGACAGTATTACTGAATACATCAAAGTGACTGTATCGACAGTGGGGTGTACGACAGTATTACTGAATACATCAAAGTGACTATCGACAGTGGGGTGTACAACAGTATTACTGAATACATCAAAGTGACTGTATCAACAGTGGGGTGTACGACAGTATTACTGAATACATCAAAGTGACTGTATCGACAGTGGG